TTCGATCTTGATCGACTTGAGGTGCAGTTGTTCCTTTGCGGGGGGTTCCTTGTTCCTTTACTTGCGAGGCTTGACCGCTTCCTATAGCGAGGGAGTGTCTCCGGCGCGTGCACCAGCAGCGAGATCTGAAGCCAGATGTACGCATTTCTCTACCTTTTTCCCACTTTCTTGACACTAACATGTATGCATTGTGCTTTATATCACGGTTTTTTGTGCTGTATAACATAGGATTCTCTCCAGCGCGTACATCGTCGGCTCGTACGTCTCCGGCTCACGCGTATCCGGCTCACTCGTCTCCGACTAACGCGTCTCCTGCATCCACGTCTCCTGCTCATGCGTCTCCGGCTCCACGGTTACCAGCTCGCATATCGCCAGCTACAGCGGCTGAAGCAGGTATGCTTCCTGCATGGGGCTAGTCGTCACATTAATCTGTATCGCTATGCTGACTGTTCTGCTTTGCTGTGCTGTATTATACAGAATCAGATGTGGTACAACAATCTTCCGTCATTCCGACTAGTTTAGTTCCAAGATCTGTAACGAGAAGAATGGGGACTGGAAATCTGGACGCGACCACTCTGCCAATCTCCAGGTGCGTCACAGCTGCCGACTCACGCACACCTGGTTGAGGATCAGCCAATCCTGGTTGCCGTACCACGATACTTCAACACACCTCGATAACCCCACGCCACTTATCTCGGAAACATCTCCACGCGCTATCCACCCAGACCATTGACCTCCCCAAGCCGCGCCCCGCAGCCCTGTAATAACTGTGCAACACACAACTCTCCGTCGTTCACAATAAATCAAAATATGAAATCAGTAGATTGTCGAGTGTACCCAACATTCTCTCTCTCTCTCTCTCTCTCTCTCTCTCTCTTTTTTTTTTTTTTTTTTTTTTTTACAGATTTCTGACCAACGATGGATTGAAGCGCCCAATATACCGTGATAATCTAGGACATATCCGGAAATCAGATTCAACCAACGCGCAATCTGTCCTGAAGTGATAGGCACACACCATAAAATGAGCCTGCCAAATCGTACCTAAACTGCCGTGGAACCAGGCAAACAGTTGTCATCTGAAACTGACTGATGCAAAAGAGACTCTTCTGAAATCCTTATAAGATCTACCTAGGTTTTGGGACTGCTAATTCATTGCGAATTTTGCGTGTTCCTGTTTAAAGTATCGGCCATCCAGTTTTTTCTGTCCGTAGAAGGGAGTAGATTTCGATGAAACTTCTTCAGGATGCAAAATGACAAAATTTCTCCCCTAACCGGTAACGTGTATCTGTCCTTTCATTGTTGCACAAAGAGTAAACGAATCATTATATCCGTGTAAAAGTATTTTGTGTGTTGCATTAAAAGGGCGGGGGCTTATCCCCGATATGACTACCGTACCTCACAAATTAAATGCTTAACAGAAAAACACCAGTTCGTCGATTTTCGCGTGTTTTTTCGATTTGAAAGGTTTTGTTAACACAAAAATAACAGATTTCACACCTCGAAACAAAACTATATTTAGGCTGAAAGATGAAACCTCACAACCACCTAAGCATTTGCCAAGTAATTCTCTTGTCTTCATAAAGAAGGTTTAGCCCCAGAGCTAGTAGAACGAGCAGTGAAGGAGAGTACAAGAGGTGCGAACACCGATAAAACACTCAAGCTCAAATCCGAATAGTAATATATTTGCAAACCGATCTCTTCAGTTTGATAAAGAAACGATTTCTATGCAGAAAGTCAAACAATCGATCCCTCCTGATGGGAAGTACAACGATTGAGAAAGCTGTGTTAGCCATAAACAAAAACCAGAACGAAAATCGTAAGGTGAAGTACTTACTCAAAATACTTGGTCAAGACCCGCGTACAGAAACTCAGAACTCTTTTAAGAGCACATCACCCGACTTAAGGACAACGGTCCATAGAGTGCGCAACTTCAAAACCAACACGTAGAAGATATAAGCTTAGAGAAAACTTACTATACCAATATATCAGTTCATTTACTGCATTAGTATTCGCTCACATCTCCCTTGATGCCGTCCCGGATAAATTTTGACCAATGAGAACTTTGTTTTTTGTACCAAATCTTAACACAAAAATAGCAGTTTCACGAGAAAATAATCGAGTGGCGTAACGTTAAGATGAGAGCAGATGGGAATTGTGCCAAAACATTTATTTTGTGAGGTACGCTAGTCTTATAAAAAAACATTGTTGTATTGTTGGAGAGTAATGGCAATTCCATAAGCTGAAAAAATAGCCCTAGTACACATCCCGTATACGTTATTTTCGTTATGTGAAATACATCAGCATGCCCAGTATTGCATTCGTATTCACCATTTCTCCAAATATTTATCTATTATTTTCTTACCTGATGTTACCAACCCCGCAGACAACAAATTACTAATTTGAAAGTAGGCGTATCAACGATAACAGAACAAAAACAAGAAATATTTCTTATAACATTTTTTTTCGATAAGCTAAATTATATGGACTATCCGGATAGATTGAATATCGTTCGGTTAAAATGGCCAACGAAACTCGTATCGTACTGGTATAGGAAAACTTGATGTACATGATGTTGAGGATATATTTATGGTGGACTCGTTCAATGTCCGCATACATATATGAAACTTTATAAGCTTACAGTAAATGAAACGGAGACTACTGACTGTCACGGTCTACAGCTAGATGGAGGTCTCGTTATTCTCGCGGATTGCATCCTGAAGGTCTGCTCACTACAGGAGCAACGGGCTACATCCTACAAGCAAGGGCAAGAGGAGCA